GTGAAATTTCCTCATACGTTCTTTATACACTTAGAGTTCATTTGTCAAAATCTGCATTCCATTCTGGGTCCTTTGGTATGCTGATTGATTTTTAAAAAATTTTCAAAAAGTAAAGTTGAATTATTGTGGTGTGTTCTTGGTAAGTTCCAGAGTCAGGTGTCTGCCACCACAGTAACACAGAGTATTTCCATACCCCCTTCTGTGGTCCCTCTTAGTCAACCCCTCCTTTCTCTCCCAACCCCTGGCATCCACTGATCTACTTTTCTCCCCTGTTTGTTTGTTTTTTTTCTAGACTGTCATATGAATAGAATGCTGCATTATGCAGTCTTTTTCATTTGATTTCTTTCACATGGAAAAATGCATTTAACATTTACTCATGTTCTTCCACAAATCAGTAGTTCTTTTGTTGTTGCTGAGCAGTAGTCTAGTGTGGATGTACCACAGTTTGTTTATCCATTCACCTTTCAACAGATGTCTTAGCTATTTCCAGTTTTAGTGATTATGAATAAAGTTGCTATAAACATTTGTGAGTACACTTGTGTGAACATAAGTTTTCAATACATTTGGATAAACAGCTAGGATTAGAACTTCTGCTTGGCATGTTAATTCTGTATTTACCATTTTTGGAATGCTGAAGTATTTTCCAAGTGGCTGTACCATTGTGCTTTCCCATCAGGAATGAACAAGAATTCCTATTGCTCTGCATCTTCTCCAGCATTTGGTATTGTTAGCTTAAAAAAAAATCAAAATGCCATTAGTGATAAATTATTGTGTTTTACTAGCATTTCCCTAATGACTGATATTGAGCATCTTTTCATGTGCTTATTTGCCATTTCTGTATCTTTTCTTATAAGTGTCTATTCAGATGGTATGCCCATCTTGAGTTTTGTTGTTGTTGTGTTTTCACTGCTGAGTTTAAGAGTGCTTTATATATTATGGTAATTCCTCAACCCCCAGACTCTGGCTTATGTTTTCATTTTCTTAGTACTATTTTTTATAAAACAAGTTTTAAACTTTTATAAAATGCAATTCATCAATTTTTATGTATTGATTATGCTTTTTGTTGTCATATCCAAAAACTTATTGCCAAACCTAAAGTTATACAGAGTTTCCATTTTCTTCTAAAAGTTTTCTAGTTTCAGACTCTACACTTAGATCTATCATCCATTTCGAGTTAATTTTTGGATACAGTATGAGTTATATGTCAAGATTCATTACTTCTGCATAGGGATACCCATTTGTTTCAGCATCTGTGGGAAAGACTATCATTTCCCCATTGATTTTCTTTGCACTTTGCCAAGAATTAGTTGACTTCATTTATGTTGGTCTATTTCTGGACCTCTTTTCTATTCCATCCTGTACAATAAAAGCCTAATATGCTAAGTGTCTAGTCATCCAGTTGGCCATTCAACCAATCAAAGCATAATATGCTAATGATATGCTAAGGTTGCTCAACCGCTTGCTATGATGTGCACTGACCACCAGGGGGCAGATGCTCCGACAGGTAGGTTAGCTTGCTGCTGGGGTCCAGCCAATCAGGACTGAGTGAGATGTGCTGGACACGCCCTGGAGCCCTCCTGCAGTCCCTCCCTGGCAGGTCAACCTCCTACATCCTTCCCCGCCCCAATTGTGCACAGGTGGGGTCACTCGGCCTGCACCCTCTCGCAATTTGGGACCCCTTGGGGAATGTTGGAGAGCAGGTTTCAGCCCAATAGCAGGACTGGTTGCTATGAAAAGACCTGCACTGACCACCAGGGGGAAGATGCTCAATGCAGGAGCTGCTCCCTGGTGGTCAGTGTGCTCCCACAGGGGGAGTGCTGCTCAGCCAGAAGCCGGGCTCAAGGCTGGCAAGCACAGTGTTGGTGGTGGGGGGAGCCTCTCCTACCTCCACAGCAGCGCTAAGGATGTCCTACTGCTCTATAAGTACCCATCAACTATGCTATGGTTTGTTTGTTTTTTTGCCTTTCTGATAAATGTTAGAATTAGGGGTTGCTACATTTCGAAAAAGCTTGAGATTTTTTTAAGCCTCACCTGAGGATATGTTCACTGATTTTTTTAGATAAACCCGTGGTTGGCAAACTGCGGCTAGCGAGCCACATGCGGCTCTTTGGCCCCTTGAGTGTGGCTCTCCCTAATTAAGTTAATAACAATGTACCTACCTATATAGTTTAAGTTTAAAAAATTTGGCTCTCAAAAGAAATTTCAATCGTTGTACTGTTGATATTTGGCTCTGTTGACTAATGAGTTTAATGAGTTTGCGGACCACTGAGATAGATAGAGATAGAGATAGAGATAGAGATAGAGATAGAGATAGAGATAGATAGAGATAGAGATAGAGATAGAGATAGAGATAGAGATAGAGAGATAGAGAGATAGAGAGATAGAGATAGAGAGATAGAGAGGTAGAGAGGTAGAGAGGTAGAGAGGTAGAGATAAATAAATAGATAGATAGATAGATAGATATGAATGTGATAGAGAAAATGGATCAGATGCCACTCCCATGGGCCCCCACCATGCATCGAACTCCCAATTTAGATATGTGCCCTGACCAGGAATGGAACCTGCAACCTTTTGGTATATGGGAAGATGGTCCAATCAACTGAGCCACCTGGCCAGGGCTAAAAAGCTTGAGATTTTGTTTGCAATTGCATTGAATCTATAGATAAAATTGGGTAGAATTTATTCAAATTATTTTTAAATTTCATTTAGCCATATTTTATAGTTTTCAACATATAGGTCCCAGACATATTTTGTTAGACTTATAAATAAGCACTGCATTTTGGGTGATGTTGTTTTTAGTTTAAAATTTCATTTGTTCATTCCTGACATATAGGTATGTGATTGCCTTTTGTATTTTGAATTTATACCCCATAACCTTGCTTAACTCACGTTTTAATTTTAAGAGATTTGGGGCAGTTTCTTTGGAGGAGGAGTGGATATGGACAATATGCAAGTAGAGACACTTTTATTTTTTCTTTTGCAACCTGTACGCCTTTTGTTTCTTTTACTTCCCTGGTTCATCTGACAGGATGTCCAGTCCAATGTTGAAAAGGGGTGATAAAAAACGGCACTCTTGACTAGGGGTTTCTTACTATTAAGTATGATGCTCGTTATTCCTAGGCTTTTTGCAGATGCCTATTATTAGGCTAAACTATTTCTCCTCTAATCCACGTTTATAATTTTTATCATAAATGTATATTGAATGTTATTAAGTGCTTTTTCTGTATGTATTAAGGTCATCATGTCATTTTTAAATTTTTTTCTTTAATCTGATAATATGCACATTATAATTGATTTTTGAATAATGAATCAGTTTTGTTGTCCTTGAATGAAATCCACTTGTTCATGATGTATTTTTTTTGGTAAATTTTTTTTTAGGATTTTTGCAAGTATAATCTTTATTTTTTCTTTTTTTGTTTGTGTAATCTCTTTATTTGATTTGTGTCTTCCATACTGTCTTATAAAATGAGTGATAGTTCTCTCCTCTTCTATTTTCTGGAAGGGATTGTGGGTATTACATTTTATTTATTTGTTAATTGTTGGATAGACTCCATCAGTGAAAATATCTGAGCCTGGATATTTGATTTATGAATTTTTTTCAAAACTGTGAATTTGTTATTTTAAAATATATATAAGATTAATTAGGTTGTCTATTCTTTTTTTTAAACATTGAGACTTTTAAAAAAATGATTTCAGAGAGGAAGGGAGAAGAAGAGAGGGATAGAAGCATCAATAATGAGAATCATTGATTGGCTGCCTCCTGCACGCCCCCTACTGGGAATGGAGCCCACAGCCCAGGTATGTGCCCTTGACTGGAATTGAACCCAGGACCCTTCAGTCCACAGGCCAACACTCCTCCCACTGAGCCAAACTGGCTAGGGCAGGGTATCTATTCATTCAGTTTTGGTAGTTTATATCTTTCAGGGAATGATTCCATTTCAGTTGCTGGATATATTAGCATAAAGTTGTTTACTAGTACAATATCCTTTCTCTTATTTCTTGACCTAAAAGCCTCAGTTGTTTATATTGGAATTCTTCTTTTCTAATGTAAGCATTTAATTATATGTATTTCCCTCTAACTACCACTTTAGCTTTAATCTATGCATTTTAATCTGTTGCACTTATATTTTCACTTAGTTAGAAATATTTTCTTAATTTTCCTTGACACTTCCTCTCTGACTCATGGATGATTTAGAGTACTTGACCCAGGAACTACTAATAAGCAAGAGGTGGTGCTGTGGGGCGTTTATCAGTTGCTTAGGAAATGGCTGCATATTTCTCTGTCTTCAAATTCATCATATCAGTTAATATCAATATAGCTCTGAGAAATCTGGAGTAAATTAATTAATTTATTTAATCCTCTTCTCGCATAAAATTTATAATGTTATCTTATAAGATTTTAAAGGTGAGGTAACATACATGAAACAATTGTGGCTTGGCACATAGTACATGGTACATAAAAATGTGCTACTATGATTTATAATAGTTGTTGGTGGTGTTTTTGTCATTGTTTTATTTTTAGATTTACTTCATTGGCTCTGAGCTTGAAATGTTGGGATGGGTATGAAGGAAAAAATATAAAGTCATGGAATGCAAACTCTAGAGAAGTCACAGAGATAAGATTTACCTATTCCTATCATTATTATTATTATTTAGTTTATTGATTATAGCTTTATTGTAATGTATTGCATTCATTTTAAAGACCCCCTACCCACTTTGTGAACCTCACCCAGCCTCCCCAGAATCAAAGATTGGTATCCCTGGGCATAATTAGCCATTTACAAGTGCATTACAAAGGGGGTGAGGCTGTGTAATACCACAGATGGTGCACCAAGTATGAACAATAACCCAGGACTCTGCATAATGTCTTAAGCCTTCCTCATTCAGCAACATCACTAAAAAGTGCTGTGCACTCAGAATTCAAAATCCCCTCCTCCCCAGTTACTTTCTCTGGTGTCTTTGGGAATTTGATTGACACTCTGCTTTCTTTTCTTAAACAGGTGGGCTCTGCATTGCCCAGTCCGTGAGAATCCCCCAGGAGCGCAAAGACAGGACCATTGACTTTGATAAGATTATCAAACAGCTCCTGGACACCCCCAACTCCAGGGCCGTCGTGATTTTTGCCAACGATGAGGATATAAAGTAAGGATGACTGGTGACATTTGTTAATATGCATGCTGCAACGTTAGCAAACAAAGATCCCGATACTGGCAGAGACAGGGGAAAAGAGAGCAAAGAATCAACTCTATAATCACACAGTGGCCAAGTCTGTATGTGCTTTCTACCCCACCCACGATTACTGTGAACCATGGAAGCTGCCCTGTGCTGCTGTCCTGTCCTGTCTTTCCCACCTATTAGCAAAATAACGGATTTGATTACATATAAAAAGAGAAGACCACTAGACCTTTGCAAGTTTCTTTTATTAAAAATCTATCCAAATGCAACAGACTTACCCAAAGAATGTTCCTCTTAATGTAAAAGAAAAATGTCATAATGCTGGCTAGATTGCTGCAGCTTCACATTCCATATGTTCAAAACCACACTTGCCACACCTCTACATTCTCGATCTACCTTTTCCTCTCTCTTTCCTCATCTCCATCCTCCTTGGAGTGAAAAATCCGATTGTAATCTCGACTTTCCTTTTTTCCTCATTTGCTGCATTCTTGGCCACGCCATGGAGAGCTAACCTCTAAAATGTTTCTAGAACCCAAACACCCCCCGCTTTCTTTACTTACTGCCACCAGCCTGACCAAGAATCCTTATTTATGTATCTTTTTCAGAATAAAGTGTAATTACACGTGATTAAAAACTCAGAAACAATACAAAGATCTGGGGGAAAGTAAAAGCCCCTTCATCCTGTTCCCTAGCTGACAAGTTGTGCCTCCCAGTTTCTTACAGGTTCTTCTGGAGGCGGTCCGTCTTTTACACAAACCGCTACACACTGTGTGTACGTCCTCCTTCCCTCCTTGCCAGCCCTCACGTACCATTGTGTCGTGGAAGTCCTTGAATGCCAGTACCCATAAATCTATTCAGTCTTTTTAATAGCCGTGCAGAATTTCATTTTATATCTGTATTGTAAATCATCTAACTGCCCCCTTATTGATTGACATTTAAGTTTGATTACAGAGTTTTATAACTATAAATAATGCTGCAGTAAACCTCCTTTTTCAAAAATCTGTGTGCACATGTTATGTAACGTATATATGTGTGAAGATATAATATCTACAAGTGTATAATAATATACAAATCTATTATTTTATACATTTATAGTCTATGTATTTATAAATTCCTAGAAAAGAAGTTTCCAGGACAAACATATGTCCCTTCTTAAACAATATATGAATATTGTCTTATAAAGAGGTTGTGCAGCTAACACTTCTGCTTATGTGAAAGAGCTGTTTAGGTTTTATGAGATCTTTGCCTTATAGTTTAAAATACTACATTATTGAATTTGAAGGTTAATATTTTTTATCAAGGGTAAATCTATGGGCCCAGCCTGATATTCCATCCTGCTGGGATTATTGCATTACTAGAGGCCTGGTGCACGGAATTTGTACACGGGTAGGGTCCCTAGGCCTGGCTGACAATCAGGGCTGATCTGATTAGGGCCGATCTGCGGGGTGACCAGTGGGGCAATCAGGGGGCCCCCACTGACATCCGCCTTGGCTGGACTGGGGCCTGTGGGCTGGGGGCAGCTCCTGCTTTGAGTGCCTGCCCCCTGGTGGTCAGTGCGCATCATAGTGACCGGTCCCAAAGTTCGGTCGATTTGCATATTAGGCTTTTATTATATCGGATCATCATGGCCAGTTTCCCAGTCTGCATCTTTCCCCTCCCAGTGTCCTACATGCTGCCTCTGAATCCACCCATCTTGCCAGTGTTAAGCTCTGATCATGGGTGTCAGGACTGTTCAATGCAGCGTGTGAACCTGAGGTTGGGAAAGCTGAGGTTTGTATGCTACTTAAATGAGCACTGTCTCGCCTTGGCAGGTGTCCCGCCCCATCTTGCTTTCCAACTTGGGAGGCCTCAGTTCTCTCATCAATACAATCAAAATCCTTTGGAGCAGTTTTTATGTGATTCTGCCTCAGCGACCCTAGGAATACTTCACCCCACGCTCCCTCATGACGGCTACACAGTAGGCACTGGGCCCATTTGTGCTTCCTCCTCCGGGTCTCTGCACGTTCTCTTCCACCTGCTGAGAACACTGTTTGCTTCCCCACTTCATTGTCTGATGACCTCTCTACCATTGCTTTCTGAACAATGTTGATTTCTCTGGACAATGCAGCTTTGGAAAATTCTTCGTAGTTTGTGTCACAGTTGTCGTTTTATATCATTTAATTTTTTTATTTAGCATTTGTGTTCTCCATTAATCCATAAGCATCATTAGGGTAGAACCATAGCAGGGTAGAGATGATGGCTCTTTGTTTTTATTCCAGCCTATACTACATTAATCTTTTGGAACCACTTCCAATTTATGATATTCTTTGCTGATATTATTTTTATTTTTTTTTAATCTGAGGCTTTAAATTTTTATTTTTCAATTATAGTTTACACTCAGTATTATTTTATATTAATTTCAAGTTTCCAGAAAAGCTGTGATACATGTATGTAATGGCCATAAAAAAGAATGAAATCTTACCTTGTGTCACAGCATGGATGGACCTAGAGGGCATTATTACTCTAAGTGAAATGTTAGAGAAAAACAAATATCATATGATTTTACTTATATGTACAATCTAAAGACCAAAAAGCAAACAAGCAAAAGAGATGCAGAGAACAGACTGATGGTTGCCAGAGGGGAGGGTTGTTGGGGGGGCTGGGTGTCCTCAGGCCCTATTACAGTACTCAGTACATAGGATATTCTTTTTTTTAAAATATATTTTATTGATTTTTTACAGAGAGGAAGGGAGAGAGATAGAGAGTTAGAAACATCGATGAGAGAGAAACACCGATCAGCTGCCTCCTGCACATCTCCCACTGGGGATGTGCTCGCAACCCAGGTACATGCCCTTGACCAGAATCGAACCTGGGACCTTTCAGTCCGTAGGCCGACGCTCTATCCACTGAGCCAAACCAGTTTCGGCAGGATATTCTTAATAAATGGCATTCAATGGGTGAATAAAATGCCTAGTCAAGTACCCACTATTTAATAATATAAATACAGGCTTGCCTTGCTGACCTTCATGATGTCTTCACAAGTGGTTCTATTTTAACAGCTATAACTCCTCTCTACTCCCAGTTCTCCTCCCAAAAGGCATTATTCCGGTCCTCCAACACCTCCTGGTCCCTCCTCCATCATGGCTTTTGTTTGTGGTGTTTCTTCTCTCTTTCTCTACCTGTTGCAAGTATGTCTGTTCTTCAAGGTTTACTTCAAACAGCCTCTTCTCTATGGGCACTGTTTCTGATCACCCCTTATTTCTCTCCTTATAAAATGCTGACTATTTTGCTCTTAGGGCATTTTCTTTCATACTTTGTGATTTAGTTATTTCAGAGAATTTTTATTTCATAATATTACCCTGTCTTTTTGCTCCAGGTTTTGTCAACTCTATTGATACCTTTCTTAATCATCTCATATATCTTTTTCATACATATTTTATACATTTAAAAATATGTAATACATTGATAAGGTGTAGCTTTGTGTTTATTTTTAATTTTATTTTAATTCTCACCGAAGGATATCTTTTTTATTGATTTTAGAAGTGAGAGGGAGAGAGAGAGAGAAAGAAAAAGAGAGATAGAGAGAGAAAGCTGTATTTTTAAATTCATCATACACAGCACATAAAAGTTTTACTGCAAATGGCAATGGTGATATATTAGTTTTAATACTCTTGATTTTCAGGTAGTGTAAGGTTTTAATTTGGGATATAAAAATATATATAATCCTCTTAATAACTGTGCTATTTTTGTGTGTTGAGGCTTGTTTGTGTGTTTATTATTTTATACTGTGATTTATAGTAATGATAGCAGTAATGGCTCTTGAGCACAGTAATAGAATTCAGTGCATATATAAGTGTCTTCCAGAACATGATCTGAAACACACTGATGTCTGAAGAGTAGTAATGACCTACAATGTTATGTTATTTCTGTTTTCAGGAAATTTACACTGTAGATTGGAAATTTTGAGATTTCTTAGAACATTAACTTGAAATACCTTGTTGGAGAATAGCAGTGAGAAGATATTAACATCTAGAATTTGAAACTGAGATAAGTGCTGAATCAGTCATGCATACTAATAATTTGGATTTTAGACAAGAATAGATTCTTTTCTGGAACACTTTATTCTGATCATAAAGCAATACATGGCTATTTTAAGTCCATTGAAAAATGTGGAGAAGTTTTTGCTGTTGCTGTTTAGTAAAAGGAACTCTTTTTTAAAAATTTTATTTTATTGTTTAGAGTATTACAAATAGTAGTACATATGTCTCATTTTTTTTCCCCATGGACCTTCCCCTGGCCTCCCCTACCTTCCGGCACATGCCCTCTCCCCCCTCCCCCCAGTGTCTTGTGTCCATTGGTTATGCTTATATGCATGCATACAAGTCCTTTCAGTTGATCTCTTACTACCACCCCCTCCCCCCGAAACCCTCCCCTGCCTTCCCGCTGAAGTTTGACAGTCCCTTCGATGCTTATCTGGCTCAATATCTATTTTTGTTCATCAGTTTATAGTGTTCTTTATTATCCATTAATGAGTGAGATCATGTGGTATTTTTCTTTCACTGACTGACTTATTTCACTCTCAAGTTTACTTTGCCTCCTGCTAATCTAGAAAAATCAAAGGTGAGAGAGAATAATCACAAACTATGATTTTATGCAATCCCTACAAAACTTGAAATCCCAACACTCAGAGATAATCACTAAAAATTCTGGATTGAGGTTTGTAATAATTTTTTTTCTAAACATGCATAAGTTGTCCCCAACAGAATCACGATCACATTGAATTTTATATTTTACTTTTTGTAATTCACGTTTCACTTTTTGAACCATAATCTTACTTGTCTTAACAAATAACCCCACACTCTTCCATAAATATGTTAAGGTGGATGTCTACTTTTTGTATTTATGTCAGTTTCATCTTTATTCCTTGCTTCGCTTGGTTTCTCCCCACCCTTTCATTCTCTTCAGAATTACCAGCAGCTCCTCGGTGAATGATTGTTGTTAACCACAGATTGTATATTATCCATATTTTTCATATATATTTCAGTTTACTTAAGCTAAAATAGTATTTACCATTTCTTCCACCTTATATCCCCTGCCTTTGGCATCCATATTTTTCTGTGCTCTTACATAACCCTATAGCTTTAACTGCGTATATACAGAAATACAGGCAAATTTTGGCCAGCTTTCCTTATATAAGAATTGAGCAGTCTTTTGCAGCTGCTTATTTGACTTTCCTTCTTTAACAATGCCTTGTGGAAATTACACTGAGTATATTTTTAATTGCTCTCCATCCATCCTTTGGATGGACTCTATTTATGTAACCAGTTCCCTGTTGCTCTGCATTCTGGGTGTCTCTTTAATGAACATTTGATTTTGACAGTATACTTGGTTATTTCCTTTGGGCAGAGCAGTAGAAGTGGTACCTCTAGATCAAGTATAAACAATTGATTGTGTGTCATTTTTTAATGAAAATAATAAATGAATGTATTTTTAAAATATGACTAAAATAATTTTGGTGCAAAGCATTGGTCTCCTGTCTCATTCCTCTAAACTCTTTGGTTCTATTCTCTTTGAGCAACAATTTTAATTCTTTAAGCTATTTCTTTAGGCCTTATCTGCATAATGTGCCTGTACTGTAATTTTTGAATTATTAATTTGGCTAATTAGTTCTTCATTATCTTCCCAACATCATTCTATCAGATATCCATTCAATATAAATCAGTGTTTACATTATTATCCATATAATAAGGTGACCTGTATTATTGTCTTGGGCACTTCCCTCCTGAAATCTCTATTCTTTTTTAATTTTTCTTTCTTTTTTTTAATGTTTACTCATAGTTTATTTCCTCATTTTGCTGGAACTATCCTCCAATAACTTTCTAATAAAAGGAAAATTAAAGAAAAAGATTTTTGCCTTTTATGCCTAAAAATGTTCTTATTTTGCCTCCACACTTACTTTGTAGTTGGGAATGTAAGGTCACTCATATTTATTTTTAATTGCATCATACCTGGCACAGAATGATTACAGCAAATATCTATGGTAACTAATGAGTTACAGGCTAGTATCTTGCAGGGAGCTTGAGGTTCTAACTTGGGATGGAAAAATCTGTAATAGCCATGGATTATGCTAATTCTATTTCTATTGGAATTTTAGATTATAAAATAATTTTCCTAAGAATGTGGGAGACATTGCTCCATCACTCATCATTTTTTTCTCTCTGCTGCTTATTTCCCTGCATGTGTCCTGATTTTTCTCATAGAAGCATTTAGGATGTTCTCATATTCAGGAATCTTAAATTTTGTGACATGTTTGATTTTTCCTTAATATTATGCTGGGTGAGCCTTTTTAATATGGGAACTTGTACTTTCAATTTCTTGGATTTTTCTTCATTAAAATATTATTAAAAACATTTCACTTTATTTTCTCTGCACATTGTTCTGGAAATGGCATTAGTTGGATGTATGTGTTCTTGGATTCGTTATTTGAAACACTTATCTTTTTTCTGTGTATGTTCTACCCTTTTGTTATGGTTGTGCTTCCTGGAGAATTTTCTTTAGAAATTTCTTCTTTTTATCTTCTAACGTAACTTTAATTTTATATTTTAATAATTAACCTATTTTTTGTTGGTTTCTATCTTGCTCTTGATTACAGATATGATAATTCTCATTTAAATGTATTTGGGGTTTTGTGGTTTTTTTTGTTCTTTTTCATATATTTTCTCTGCCCTATCCCACACTGCTGTTTATTTTTCCCTTGTTACTTTTTTTGTTGTTGTTTTCTATTTTAAATGGAAGATTCTCCACAATTATGAGTGATTTGTAGCCGTTCCCAGCTGAGTTAGAGACTAAAAAATTCTGTGCGCTTGATAGGGCTCTCAGTGGACCTGGTCAACTCCATCAAAGATCTCTATGTCAATATCTAATTTTTTTTTCCTGGGGGTTCAGATTTTCTCAGAAAAGCAATTTCTTCCTGGAATAACACACATGGTTGGCTTTCAGAATTATGTAAATTAGTAGAGGGCCTTACCATTTCAATACTTAATGGTACCCTTAACTTCTTTCTCCCAATTTCACCACCCTCACCCTCATGCTTAACTCATCATCGCTCGCCCACCACCTTCTGTTGTTTGGCTGTTCACAGTTTCCCATATCCTGCATGGGAGAAGGAGAGGCAAATCTGGGTGCTGTCTTTTGCCATTCTATGCACAATCTTTCAACTAAGACAACTGAATTTGGCCATGCATCTCTGTGACACTTGGTACCTCCAAGTCCTGAGAGGTAAATAAACAATTTCTCCTGTGATATTACCTACCAATACCATTTTAGTTGTAGCTTTCTCTGTTCTACTAATGTAGTTATCTCTTATCCATTCTCTGTTCTTCCAAAAATATTATTGTAATAACTTTTCCATGAATAACTAAGCTTCCCTTTTGGTAATTTATTTTATTTTTAATTAAACTGGCTCTTTTAACAGTGACAAAGGAAGTTAAAGTATACAGGTAAATGATATAAATTATGATTAGTATCCAAGCATCTTGTTGCAATTCTTGTTGCAATTGTTACATATATATATATATATATATATATATATACAATTTTTACTTATGAATATTGGTTGTACATTGTTCGAGCTTAAGTTATAGTTTTAATCAATAATTTAAGACCTTTCATTAAGAAACACGTTGCTTTCAGAAATGACATTACCACCAGCAGAGAACGAGTGTGCTCATTTCTCCAGCCCATGCCAAACTCACAACACAAAATAAACAAACATTTGGCCAATCCAAGAAGTGAATTTGATATCTTATTCTATTCCACTTGTTCCTCCTTTCTAATGTATGTGAACGACCAGTTTATTGGTCATTTATAGTTCTCCTTCTTATCTGTCGACTTTTAATACTCTTTGTCTATTTTCCTCAAGCCACTTTGATGGTTTTCCTTTAGAAAGTCTCTTTTTATATTAAAGCTGTAACTTTGGGGCACCAGTTATTTACTCTTTGAGAAATGGTAGCTTGCTTTCCTTCTGCTTGGTCCCTAATTTGCATATGTTCAATAGCTGTTCTTTATCCTAATGTACTTTTTCTCGTTCCTTTCTGCAGGCAGATCCTTGCAGCAGCCAAAAGAGCTGACCAAGTGGGCCATTTCCTTTGGGTGGGCTCAGACAGCTGGGGGTCCAAAATAAACCCACTGTACCAGCACGAAGACATCGCAGAAGGAGCCATCACCATTCAGCCCAAGAGAGCAACCGTGGAAGGTAGGGGTTATGTCCGTTTATGAAATGCTCAGAAAGTGGTTGGTGCCATGTAGGGTGTTTAAAGCGTGTGTCTCTTTGAGCATTTGGCATTTCTACAATCTATGTTCTCCTTTCATTTGAAAAGAAAAATTATTTCTCAAAGAAGATATTAAGAAAAGGAACTCCTCCTCTGGTATCCTGCCTGTGTTTCTTTTCTGATGGGCCAGGTCTCCAAAGATTCCCTAAAACATGCTCTGCACTTTAAAAAGAACTCTATCTTCTCACTCAAAAAGAGATCAAGTATTTGCATTTCTGTCTACTTTGTCTCCATTCCAATCTAATTAATTATTCTCCCCAGAAGACTGCATGGTCTGGGTAGGCCTTTTAAAAACAGGCTGGGTTGTGGTTCTGTCACTCTGGCCTTCTGTGTTATCTGGGGAGATAAAGATCCCACGTGTGCACTGGGAAGCTCTGAACTAATTTCATCTCCCCATACATGTCTGGAGAAGATTGCCTGTCTTACACCCCAGACCAACATTTGCAGATGGGCACAAGAATGTCAGACATTTTAAACTATCTCCACTCCCTTTCACTCCAAAAACTTGAGTATCAGCTGTGTGCCTTGTTCTGTGCTGACCTGGGAAAATAAGATGAGGACAAACAAAACCCTTGCCCTCAAAGCTTACAGACCTGAACAAAGGTATCCGAAAATAGCCATTGACTGTGTAACATGTGAAACATCCTAACACAATACAAACTAGAGGCCCCAGGACACAAAGGAGGCACTGTGGAAGTTTCTCCAGGGCGGTGATGCTGTGGTTGGGGAAGACTCCCGAGAAGAGGGGAAACGTAAGGGGACTTAGAACTCATCGGGCAGAAAATGAGAAGCCCCGGGAGAAGCTTCCCACCCAGGAGATAGGAGCAGAGGAGTGAAGAAGCAGGGCGCACTGCGGTAATTGCAAATACTTCACTCTGCAGCGTAGTCCTCAAATTCTCCCAACTCTTTAAAAATGTCCCCTTTACAGGGCATTGGGAAAATGCTTCCCTCTTCTAGAGTACCGGGTAATACACTGTTTGGCTAACTGACTCCTTTCTATCCTTTGGGTGTCAGCTCAGACATTAATTTTCCATGCAAGCGAGCTGTGACCATTCCACGCAGCCAAGTCTATTGCTTCCACAGCATCCTACTTATTCCCCACCATTGTAGAGCCTCTATACTTGTCTCTATGTGGAAATGTGTCTGTTATGCACCATGGTACCCTCAGCCTCTAGATCTTGGACTGGATACGGCAGGTGCTCAAACAGCTTTTTAATTGTTTGTGTGCCTGGGGAAGATGGAGGAATCACAGACCACCTGAGAAACCCGCACAAACATGGCTGAAGAGTGGGCCAGAGTTGGATTGTGAATGGTCTTGGAGACTACATTGTGAAATTTGTACTTTTTTTTCTGAAAGTCTGAACAGCATCTGTGGATATAAGTAGGATGTGATCAGAGGGTGTTACAAGGCTCACTCGGGTGACTCTGTGGAGGAATGACATGTCAGAGTTGGGTGAGAATCTAAGCAAAGCAACAGATTAAAGTGCCTCTACTGAGGTCCTCTCTTCCTGAGCTATAGACACCACACAGACATGAATGCCCACACTCCATGATTACTGGCCCCAGCTTCAAATATCTTAGGAAATTCGTATTTCAAGTTCTATACATTTTTGAAACAAAATACATTTTCCATGTATACTTAGGGATGCACAAAGTTATTCAGTCAGATACAAAACTACATCATGAATCTGCCCCCCCCCAAAAAAATGTGGTCCCAAACATTGATATGGGAGAGAAATATTGTTATTAATAAAAATATTGGAATGTACTGAAGCAGCAAATCTTCATGCAAAACTTTCCACACCTACCCAGACAAAATAATGATGATTTTCACTTGGCTGTTTATAAGTGCCATGACTTCTACCTACCCATATTTTCTTCCGTATTGCTACAAAGATTTGTTCACTGACACAGAAGATGGACTATTTAAATGGTGGCTATGCATTCACAGTGTCACACTCCCAAGGAAGTGAAAAAAAAATGCACTCAATTACACAAAGATTTCTGAACAAAGCTATGGAATATATCAAACAAAACTGTGAGTGGAGCACACTGTATATGGGCAAGTAAGCATTTCCCTCTTGTCTATTTTTTCTTTATTTGTTTCCTTTTTTTGTGGATGTTTCATATTGAATTCTAATGGGGTGGAACATCACCCAAATGCTCATAATATTGCTATATCCCTTTATATAATGCTGGATCTTCAAATGTGAATTGAAAAAACGCCAATTGATAATCCACATTTGCTCTCTTTAAATCCATATTTTGAACATATTCTGCAAACATCTGATTTTTTTGACTGGCCTTTTCTGTATCTGCATGAATAATTAACGATAAATTGCCTTAGGCCAAAGTGCTAGCAACTATATTGCCTTTGTGAGAGTGGTGTTCATCTTCTTTTATCTCCTTTCTGTTTTTGTTCTTCATTTATAGGAAAAAGGGGCCTTCGTGTTTGCTAGCCAAGGGTGTCGTTTATTCCCCTTTCAATTTAATGAGGATAGGAACTGTGCCCAGAAAGGTCAGCCATGGCTCTGCTGGCTGCCCGGCGCTCACGGATCTCAGAATGTCTCCAGAACTGGGCAGCTCTCCTCCAGCTCCTAAGCCAAAACAGTTCTGTCATTTTTAGTGTCTCTGCATTGTCTGATGAGCCAAGAGATCACTGGCATATTCCTCTCTTCTGTCACCCATTAACTAAGACTCTCCGTTATCCTCTCCAGCCCCCAGCAAGTCCACAGAGCAAAACATGTCCAAGTCGCCATTAACTCTTTGTCCTCCAAAGCACTCAGCTTCTCTGAGAGTCCTGTCTTAGGCATCTTCTAATTACAGCCAGAGAGGATCACGGGGCCAGCATCTTTTCATCCGCGCCGTAATCACTAACATTAGGGAGTTAGGATCATGAAGGGCAAGTTTTCAAAGCTGACTATGATGGCTCTGTCGATTGGTGATGATTTTTAAATGGATCCATGGAACAGCTTAGTTCCTGAACTAAGTCTGGGATATACACTGAGTGGCCAGATTATTATGACCACCTCATCAGTACAATGAAGTGAATTAGTTATGCAAATAATAATAATAATAAAACCTTGAGAGGATTTGCTTAGGAAGTTTTCAATATTCAGTATTTTTGGAAGTGTCAATGAAGTACTGATGGGGTGGTCATAATAATCTGGCCACTCAGTGTATATGTGGGAAAAGACAAAAAATGCTCTGGACCTGGCATAAAAGACTGGATAGTTCATGCTTTTACACCAGATTGACATGAATGCTTTCTTTATTTTTTCCTAAAACCAGCAAGGGCAAAGCTATGAAGAACTGAGCCGAAACATTTCTGGCTGCAGTTTGGATATGTCCTACTTCAGCCTTCTGTGTTGACCTGGGATGTTCCTCACATGTCGTAAGGTTTTGTTAGATGAATGGGAGGAAAACTCCAAGAAATGAAAGATTGCCTTGAACCATAATACTATTGCTAAGCAATGCATATGCCTTTTAGTCCTGCCGCCTTGTTTAATGAGAGAGCTATTAGAAGATTGCCTATTCACTGTCATGACAGTTTCAGTTATTGGGTCTTTCATAAATGCTTATAAGCTCTATCTGGGTATTGGGCATGGATTAAAACACTGAGATGTAGCAGGTGGCAATCTAGACCCACTTCCTGCTTTCATGAAGTTGCTGTCTTCCTGTGGAAGTGGCAGGTGATTAAAAAAAGAATATGAATAAGATAATTACTCTGAGGTACATTCCCTTAAAGAGCAGCTTATAAGTTATGGAGATGCACAGGAAGAGGAAGGGGGCCAGGCAGCCAGGATGCAATGTGGGTCCAGGGAAGACTGGGAGGGTGGGATGCAGGCCACTAGCTCAGCCTCTGCTGCCGGTTCTGGGTTCCCGGCACATACTCCTACCAGATCCTTCGCTACCTGAGTCTACCAGGGTTTCCCATTTTCCTTTTTCTTATTGATCTGGAAAATAACAATTTCCTTCAAGATATATCAAATGGTTAATCTTTTCCAAAGACTTTCCGCCTCTCCCGAGTTAGTTTACTCTGCTGAACCAGTCTCATGGCTCCCTTAGTCCACAATGTGCTACGTGCCCCATTTACAGCAAACGCTGATCATACTCACCTGCGCACGTGGCACTCACATCTGGATTCCGAACCTTGAGGGCAGTGCCTGCAGCCTGTTGCTTCCCTCTGACTTTCCATCTTTGTTTGCACAGCCTTGGCATTCACTGGAGGATCTAGCACGGAGTAAGATTTTGAAAAGAGACATTGATCTTTTCTGTCTATTATATCTGAATGTATTATAATACCTGAATAGGGAACGGACTGCATGCTTGTGTGAACTTGAAGTTTTCTCAGGATGAGGAAATAATTATCCAAAATGGTTTGTCTCTTTGGCGTTTTGTTCTAAGACATTTAGTAGGAAGCTGCACTTGACCCTCCAATTCAGGATCTCTCCTGAAATTTTAGATGTGGGTTTGGACACTTTTTCTTCTGCTCCTGACTTTCTTTGCAATTTTCGAGGGACTTCCTAGAAAGGCCTGGCACAATGGCTCAGTTAGGTGACTTGCTGAAATGTTACAAACATACAAAGCAGAAAGTGTGGCTAAGGCTGCCTCTGTTTGTCTTAGGCATGTCACTGTACTGTGTCTATGAATAGAATGGACTGAAGAAGGGAGGGTGGGCAGATCAGAGGCATGAGAATATCTGTGTGAAGAATTATAGCATCTTATCTTTAATCTTGTGATATTTAAACTTGCGATTATGGGCCTTGAGCAATAAAGTGGTAAGAAGTATAAAGCAAAATCTACAAGCTAGATATCTAAGGAGATCTGAGAACAATTACGTTGGAGTTGCTTTCTATGTATACAGTCACTGATTTTGAGCCACGTGGTCTCTTATAGGATAGATGCTATGATTTCGCTTAACTGGCCACCAAT